GTCGAACACAGATCCACTGATCCTTCGACACAGAGCATCTTCAGAAGACAAGCTGATAAAAGTTAATTATAAAATCTGTATTGTTCGATACACAGTGTGTATTGAACCTAAAGTACTGTTCGATACGGGTACATGTGTTGTTGCACACCTCAGGTTTTGACCCATTAAATAAATTTTAATCTGAAAATGGGGGGAAATCTGTGATTTACGGACGATCCGTACAACCTGACATGTAAGGGTACTACACAAACTGCCCAAAATTCAAGGAGACTAGATTTTAAGTTTTGTATTTAATTTTAAATAAAATATTTTCTTAAAATTTTAATCCTAAATGGTTAAGGGAAATACAAAATGCACACCAATAACAAACTTTAGACGATAAAACAGTCTCGTCGGTCAGTGGAGGGGGTCCAACCAATTTTAAAAGTGTAACCATTGCCCAAAACTGGTCCCCCTTGGTGGCGCCCCTGAATCGAGCCTGTCCTCAGTGGTAGATGTGTTATATTATTGTTTATTTATTATTGATTATATATGGCAGAGCCATGAGTGTCTGTGACCACATGATGTCCAACACAGATGGTGGCAGAGGGCACTGCTGCAACATGTCTGAGCCCAGAAACAAGAGCTGAGGAGGGTGAAGGACTAAAACATGGACAGAAATAAATCAACAGCAACAACACACACATGGTTGCTTCCTGTGTGTGTGTGTGCGTGTGTGTGTGTGTGTGTGAGCTCCTGTGGGACAATGAGGAGGCTTGTTCCATCTTCTCACACAGCTTCACAGGCCCCAAAACACTACACAACTTTTCACCACTCCTTTCTTTTCAAACTAATTGTAACACAATCAGCGTTCAGTCCAGCTCAGATAGGAAAATAAAACATGCACATGGAGTTAAATCAACACGGAGTTATGGTCGTGTTTACTTACGCAAAGTTTCCCGACCATCGAGCCGAAGTTCATCTTGGGAACTTCGAGATGAGACTCAAATCCCTGCGGCGTTAAGAACCACCAGCTTCAAAAAGTCTTGGAAAAATATTAAAACTACCTCTCTGTGGGGAAAAAGTCTCTAAAAGACAAGTCCGACCTCAAATCTGTCCGTCAGCCGCTTTCTGTCATCGGTTCACAGTTTTACAGGCGAAAATATTCACCGCTTTCCCCTCAGCTTCCGAAGACACACACGGGCTGAAGCGAATGAGAGGTTTTTAGGGTCGAGCACCAAGCGTGACGTCAGACTTCCGACAGCCAATCACAGAGCTCCTGCTTGGGAAAATGCTTCAGCAGGAAATTGTCCCAACAAACAGGGGCGCCAGCAAGGGGGGTGGGGGGGGGGG